AAACCAGTTGAGTCAGACAGTGGTTTCTGTAGGTCATGGAGATTTGGATAAGGTTGATGTTTATCAAATCCCGATACTGACAGGCAAGAACTCCTGTACTTCAAGACATTATTGTTACTTAGAATCACTGCCATTCCACTGAACAAGAGAAAAAAAAAGGGGGAGGAGGGGAGGACACGACAGATCATTCAGAAACTCAGTTTTCAACAAGTTGGTGTTCTTTCAACTGGAAAATACATTTGGAAATGTAATTATCTTTTGAATTCATCTTATAGCAAGTAAAGTTTCTAAACTGCTATCAGACAGATGTTCTCAAACTGCATTACAGGGAACGTTTTCTGGACACTACAGTTTATTCTTCTACTCTGAAGGTGTTGAGTCACTTTAAAATGCATTTACACATGCTAAGATTTCTCAGCACTGCAGATTTAAAATACTGTTGGGGCTACCACTTGGATGTTAGAGGACAATGAATGTGGGAGTGCATTTCATAAATCTCAGTAAAAGTGTTTTTATTTAAAAACCCAGTAACTTTTTATAAAAAGTTTGAGAAATCTTGGGGTTTGTAGGTGTTAAGATTCTTAACAACAAACTGCAAAGAAACGGGGAGTGAATATGAATGATTACTGATGCGCCCAAAGCAACAACCTGAGTCAGCTCCATACCTAGGACATCTACAATGTTTTGTAGACAAACAGGAATTTCATTTTTGTAAGAAGATTGTGTTATTGCTAAGGACAGACACCTAGACTTGATGGTATTTGTCATTGAAAGATCAATTAACATTTCTCCTTGAGAAATAACTAGGAGATTACGAATATAAGAAATAAGTCTTTGGCAATCCTATTTTATAATTGTTTTTCAAATCATCTTCTGGTCTCAGACATATAATAATGACTTTTGACTTGTGATACCAAAAAACAATAATAATAATAATAATAATAATTACGAGCAACGTAGATAGCATTGCTGGCCAATGCCCTTTTAACATTGCACTGCTTTTTGTGCATGATCACTAGTAGTACAACATAAAAAGGGCACTGGACAGACACCACTCAAAGAAAAGCAGGCCCACTATACTAAAAAAAGTGAAAGAAATCAACTAAATTGCTCTGAACAAAACACTTTCAGCTTATCTGCTACTTAATCCACTTTTAATATTCTACTAAATGGATATCCACAAAATTTAAGTTTCTTCTTAAGTTCAGACTGCTGAAGTGCTGCATACTGGAAGGCACGAGGTCAATATGTGAAGTTCTAAGACCTAAGCGTTAATAAAATGGTTGTTGTACAGAAAGATACATTTCTCACCGGCAACTACTATGTACTGTGTTTTCATTAGAGGCCTGACTCAATGTCTGTTGAAGCCGTTGGAAAGATCTCCAGTTCCAGCTGACTTCAGCGAACACTCGGGCAGCACTGACTTAGGTGTCTAAGTCCTAAAATACAGCACCCAGGATTCTTATTTAAGTTGTTAAAACGCCAGCTTTATCAACTTTTGCATAATGAATTGTAGATTGTAGATATAATGATTCATTCAGCTCTTCTTGTTCTGAGCAATGGTCTCAAATAACCAGAGATTTACCTGGTATTTTCATTTGCATTGTTCTTTTTAAGCTCCTACAAATTAGTTTATCCTTGGTTCTATAGGATTAAAATGAAGCTTTTCATGAAATGCATGTCGAAACCTCTGGGGAAATAAGGAGTGTTATTTTATCACACTTCTGTGGAGAGAGCTGACTTCACAGGAAATCCAGGAAGAAACAATAAGCAGAAGGAAAAGCAAGAGACACAAAGCTGCAAAACGAGATATATTTGGCAAAGTACATTTCTGATTAACTTTAAAAATGGCAAGGAGAAATATCACAGTGTTTTGAAAATCTGGCAAGGGTTGTATACAATAAATTAATATGTGAATTGGTTCAAGAGATATTTAAAATGTAACATTTCTTAATAGAGGTGAAGATGTAAGATACAGCTGCCTTATGACACCCAGAACTTTCAATGGAAGAAGGCAGCCAGGCGTGCCATCTTCTGCTGGAACAAATTAATACAAGAATCAAACAGAAAAATTTAATACTAATCCTTACCAAGACAGGGTGAAAGAACAAGCTACAGTCTCAAAAACTTTGGAAGTTGTTATGAACCATCTGTGCTGACAATTGACCCAAATGAGCTCTCCACATTTTAATGCAAGATCATTTTAGTCTGTGTAAAGTAGATCATGAGACAGTGAGTGACCAGTAACTGTCCTCTTCCACTAGCACAGATGCCCCTGTTAACTTTAATGGGGCTAAAATACCTCTTTCTTTATGTCCCAAAACAAAAACCATGAATCAGCAAATGTTAAAAGTATGACTTTCCCTAAAACACAGAAATAAACCACAACATTGTAACAAAGTTCAACATCTAGCTTGGGTACTTCTAAGCAGGTTTACACAGGAGGAAAAAAAAAAAATGAACGTGTTACAAGAAAGCAAGCAAGCAAGCTGCGGAACAAACTAGGCTTTAAAAAAAAAAGAATACCAACAGAAGATAAGGAGAAATCTCAAACTTACACTATGGGCAGGGCTGCCAGTTTTGAATGTGAAATCAGAGCTAAACTTCAAAGCTTTGACAAGAATGTCATTTTTCACTGAAGTCAAATACCGTATGTTATTACCGTTCTAAGTATTATTTGAGTACGATAACCACAGTTTTGCAGCTAAAGGAGAGCAAAAACCCACCTCCCTAAAAAGTATGGCTTGTTACTTCAAAAAGGAAAAAAGTACAGTTACTGAAGTCCAGTAAAACTGAGAATTAGGTAACATACGGTTTGAATTCTCTGATCTTTCAACTCATCCAGGTATTTTGGCATTTATACAATTGCTAAGTTTTCTTTCCTAACAGAAATAGTCATATAACATAACTTAAAACATTTACTGAGAAGTGTGTTACTATTGCAATAATAAAGTAATGCAAGTAACACACTTCTCAGTAAATGTTTCGAATTTTGGTCTTCACTTGGTAATGGGGAACTGGCTGTTTAAAAAGACACGTTTTCCAGAGTCTATCAATGCGTGGAAGAACAGCACAGCTTTTTGGTTGCCTTTTTTTCCCCCCTTTTTTTTTAAGTATGAGTGAGGCACGAAGAAAGGCAACTATTATGTAAGATAGCTGAGTCTTGCCTTCAGGCGCTGGCTCAAACGGTGCTGAAAACAACTTAAAAGCTGTGAAGAAATATCTGAAATGGCATGGCTGAAGCAAAAGCCATCGTCTCCTCGAGACCGGTTATATCCTAGACCCAGCGACGAAAGAGGGACTGAAAAGGCCGGTGAAGACTCTCCTGAAAAACCGCGGGAGCGAACCCGGCCTGAGGTAGCTCGGCCTCCCCTCACGCCTGAGGCGCGCGGGCCGCGCACGACCCTCTCCTCAGGGC